GTAGTAGTAGTAGTAGTAGTAGTAGTAGTAGTAGTAGTAGTAGTAGTAGTAGTTTTAATAGTAGTATTACCATAGAAGTAGTAGTAGTAGTTTTAATAGTACTTGCCCTCCTGTGGTACAGTGGTTAGATAATGTGCTGTCGTATACAGACAACGTGTATTCAATTGGTCGCTTTTAAGCTCAAGGGGGCTATCCCGAAAAATAAGAAAAGCGAAGGGAAAGTTTTTGGACCCGTGTGCAGCTTCTTTAAAGACACGTAGAGTTTTCCCTTTGACCAAACAAAACACACCAATGAAACCAAACTTCTTCGATAGGTAGGGCAATTCCCACTTTTGCTTAGGTTAAGATTTCTGGAAACCTCCAAAATCTGGGTTAGCCCGATGGTCCAAGCGGCCATTTCTCGTGTGGGGATGTTTTTTTAGCGAGTATCTCGGTCTGTCTGCTGGAGTGTTGTATTCTTGTATCCCTCTCATCTTGGGTTGGCTCTGATGAACAAGGCTAAAGCCCACCCCCAAAAGGACTATATGAAAGGCTTTGTGGTGAAATCGTTTTAGTTTTAGTAGAGGTTTTACGGCGCTCTCAACGGCATAAGGTCATATGAGCGCCAAGAGATGGATTTCAACAGAGAATCCTTACAGGGAATCAGATTTACCCTGCTCACCTCTCTAGCTTCAACAGCATTAAGTCTGCTTCGACTATCAAGGCACTCTGGAAATAGCGGGTCACAAGAGTGTGACAAACATACAAAAGAAGTAGAGGAAAATGACGATAGTAAGGATTAGGAAAGAAAAAGCAGCAGTTCTCTTTTGTAGTTCAGGCACAGTTTGTATGAGCATGACATTGTTGGATCAGCCCATTTACAATTCTACTGTGCATCAGAACGAGAAATGTCCCCCTATTGGGAATGGTTGAAAGTGAAAGAAACTTCAGTTAGTGGCACCACCCCAGGGGGTGTTGTAAAATCAGGCACTCGTCCAAATAATGACATCGAAGAAACAGGCATTTTTCCTCCAGTTGAGCAATTTTTATCGAGTATTTTATTTTTGGCACAATACGTTTTATGTCAATATAAAACAGTTTTCATGTGAATTTTACTGGAAAATATGTCGTTTTTCAGTTTACAAGAACTCTCAAACTATTGAAGTTACCACAAATGGTGGCCATTTTCTGGCTAATTTCACGACTGAAACCAACCGACCCCCACTTCCTTCAATCGCAAATATCTCAACTATTATTCAAGATAGAAGGGTATTAATTTCATTGAAAGCAAAGCCAACGAATAAACTTTCAGATGTTGTCAATATCGTCACATGTCCAAAAACTGACGAGCGCCTGATTCCACCGCTTCGTGATAAATATTGTGTCAATTGAGACGTAAAGTATATTTACATTTGAAAGATATATAATATATACCGTATTGAAAAACTGATCATGTTGTTTTTTTCTTTTTTCTTTTTGTTTTGTTTTTGTTTTGTACAGAACCAAAGCCCCAACCCCACAAGAGAGGTTCTAACGTTGGTAAGTTGTCTGTTTGTCTGTTTGTCTGTCTGCCTGTCCGTCCGTCTGTCTGTGTGTGTCTGTCTGTCTGTCTGTCTACTTATCCACCTGAGTACCTATCTACTTATATACACACCTACATACCCACCTACCTTCCTATCTACCTACCTACCCACCTACCTACCTACCTACCTACCTACCTACCTACCTACGTACCTACCTACCTACCTACGTACCTACCTACCCACCTCCGTGGGTGGTTGGCGTGTGCTCTTGTGTGGTTTGTTTCTTCTTTCCTATCAAACATCTATCGTCCTTATCTCCCCTTCTTCTTTGTTATGTTTGTTACTCTCTTGTAACACCTCTAATCTTCTGGCGCTCATAGGACCTTATGCAGTTGTGAGCGCCATAAAACCTCTACTAAAACAAACGAACAAACTACCTACCTCCTTTCCTTCCAACTTTCCTCCCTCCCTCCTCTCTCTCTCTATCTCTCTCCCTCCCTATCTCTTTTATCTTTCTGTATCTGAAATCAAAAGTCTGTACATGTATTACTTTTCTTGTTTCTCCAGTGATCATAAACAACGAACTCTACGCCACCAGTAAGGATGTTGTAGGTAAGCTCTTCCACAGAAACGAGGGAAGAACAAATAAAGGATAAATACAAGACACTCTCCCCTCCCCCCTCCCCCTCCCCCTCCCTCTCCCCCTCCCCTCCGTCCCCAACCACCACCACCACCACCATCAACGTTATCATTTTCGTCATCATTTATTATTGGCGGGTGGGTGGCGGGTGCTCTGGGGAGGTTTGCTCCTTCTTTCCTATCAAACATCTATCGTCCTGATCTCTCCTACTTCTTTTCTGTGTTTGTTACTCTCGTGTAACACCTCTAATCTTCGGCACTTATATAATATGACCTTATTGTGTTGCAAGTGCCGTTAAGCTCTTACTAAAACTAAAGTAATCTATTGCTACTGTTATTATATTATCACCATCAGTATTATTATTATAATCAGTTACATTGTAGTATTTCATTGTAAAATGTATTTTTATCTATTTATGTCACGACGTGGTGGAATCAGGCGCTCGTCAATTTTTGGGCATGTGGAGTTATTGGTATCATCTGAAAGATGATATATTTGCCTTGCTTCCTATGAAATAGAAGTCCAGGTATTTGCGGTTGAAGGAAGTGAGGTCACCTGGTTTCAATAGTGAAATTAGCGAGAAAATGGCAGGTTTAGTAACTCCAATAGCTAAATAGTCCTTAAAAACAGAAAAATGACATATTTTTTGCCTTTGGCCTTTGTATTTTTTAGTAAAATTCACATGGAAATGTGTTTTTATAAATCGGCAGAAAAGAGTCTCAGCTGAAAATTTAAAATTCAATAAAAATGTCCGAACGGGGGGAAAATGCCTGTATCTATTTCTGTATTTTGACAAGCGCCTGATTTCTCCACGCTGCCTCACATTTGTTAAAGACCAAACGTGTAAGTAATTACCGATATATCAAGAAAAGGTTAATGCTTAATATTTGTGTTCTACTTTAGGCATTAACTTGTTCTTACGCACAGTTAGATTGTAATTGTAAATAGGCTGATTCAACAATGTCATGCTCATACTGTGCCTGAACTGCAACGGGGAACTGCTACTTTTTCTTTCCTAATCCTTACCATTGCCATTTTTCCTCTACTTCTTTTGTATGTTTGTCACACCCTTGTGACCCGCTATTTCCGGGGTGCCTTGATAGTCGAAGCAGACTTGGTGCTTTTGAAGCTTGAGAGGTGAGCAGAGTAAGCCGTATTCCCTGTAAGGACTTCTCTGTAGACACCCACCCCTTGGCGCCTTTATGACCTTATGCAGTTGCGAGCGCTGTAAAGCCTCTACTAAAACAAACAAAAATTAACAGCAAAAGTAAAATACAACAAAATAATACGTGAACTGTCAAGTTTTTAGGCCAAAAAAAGTACTGTGTTTAACTGTGTAAATTTCACGGGTCTATGTCTGGTAATAATAAAAATAATAATAACAACAACTATTTAAAAAACATCAATAATAATAATAATAATAATAATAATAATAATAATAATAATAATAATAATAATAATAATAATAATAACTAGACACAGACCCGTTCTACGAACGGTGATATAGTGATAGGAAAGTCCAAGATCAAATGTTTGTACAGGTACCTGATTCATTTCCGTATGACCTCTGTGTAGACAACTCCGTCCTGGGAAGCAGGTGTGTTTGCATGTATCCAAATAGATTCCCTGTACCCAACACAACTCTTTGCGACATATAATTGTCCATGGGGAAAAAGGTCGCCCTGTAAAGAAACCCCTATCCTTTTCAAAGTCTGTCCCTGAGTTTTGTTGGTAGTCATTGCAAAAGCAGGTCTAACCGAAATTGTTTCCCTCGCATATGGAAGGGAAATATGTTGTCTGAAGGCATGAGGGGAATCTTTGGGATGAAAAGTCTCTTCCGGCATGTGGACCGCAAGCAACGACAGCATCAATGACATGTAGATGAAGGTTTTGAACCACATAGCGAGTCCCGTTGCAGTGGCCGTTTGTGGGATCCAAATTTCTCAGCTACCTCCGTGGGTGGTTGGCGTGTGCTCTTGTGTGGTTTGCTCCTTCTTTCCTATCAAACATCTATCGTCCTGATCTCTCCTACTTCTTTTCTGTGTTTGTTACTCTCGTGTAACACCTCTAATCTTCGGCACTTATATAATATGACCTTATTGTGTTGCAAGTGCCGTTAAGCTCTTACTAAAACTAAAGTAATCTATTGCTACTGTTATTATATTATCACCATCAGTATTATTATTATAATCAGTTACATTGTAGTATTTCATTGTAAAATGTATTTTTATCTATTTATGTCACGACGTGGTGGAATCAGGCGCTCGTCAATTTTTGGGCATGTGGAGTTATTGGTATCATCTGAAAGATGATATATTTGCCTTGCTTCCTATGAAATAGAAGTCCAGGTATTTGCGGTTGAAGGAAGTGAGGTCACCTGGTTTCAATAGTGAAATTAGCGAGAAAATGGCAGGTTTAGTAACTCCAATAGCTAAATAGTCCTTAAAAACAGAAAAATGACATATTTTTTGCCTTTGGCCTTTGTATTTTTTAGTAAAATTCACATGGAAATGTGTTTTTATAAATCGGCAGAAAAGAGTCTCAGCTGAAAATTTAAAATTCAATAAAAATGTCCGAACGGGGGGAAAATGCCTGTATCTATTTCTGTATTTTGACAAGCGCCTGATTTCTCCACGCTGCCTCACATTTGTTAAAGACCAAACGTGTAAGTAATTACCGATATATCAAGAAAAGGTTAATGCTTAATATTTGTGTTCTACTTTAGGCATTAACTTGTTCTTACGCACAGTTAGATTGTAATTGTAAATAGGCTGATTCAACAATGTCATGCTCATACTGTGCCTGAACTGCAACGGGGAACTGCTACTTTTTCTTTCCTAATCCTTACCATTGCCATTTTTCCTCTACTTCTTTTGTATGTTTGTCACTCTCTTGTGAACTGCTATTTCTGGGGTGCCTTGATAGTCGAAGCAGACTTTGTCCTGTTGAGGCTAGAGAGGTGAGCAGAGTGAACCTGATTCCCCGTAAGGACTTCTCTGTAGACACCCACCCCTTGGCGCCTTTATGACCTTATGCAGTTGCGAGCGCTGTAAAGCCTCTACTAAAACAAACAAAAATTAACAGCAAAAGTAAAATACAACAAAATAATACGTGAACTGTCAAGTTTTTAGGCCAAAAAAAGTACTGTGTTTAACTGTGTAAATTTCACGGGTCTATGTCTGGTAATAATAAAAATAATAATAACAACAACTATTTAAAAAACATCAATAATAATAATAATAATAATAATAATAATAATAATAATAATAATAATAATAATAATAATAATAATAACTAGACACAGACCCGTTCTACGAACGGTGATATAGTGATAGGAAAGTCCAAGATCAAATGTTTGTACAGGTACCTGATTCATTTCCGTATGACCTCTGTGTAGACAACTCCGTCCTGGGAAGCAGGTGTGTTTGCATGTATCCAAATAGATTCCCTGTACCCAACACAACTCTTTGCGACATATAATTGTCCATGGGGAAAAAGGTCGCCCTGTAAAGAAACCCCTATCCTTTTCAAAGTCTGTCCCTGAGTTTTGTTGGTAGTCATTGCAAAAGCAGGTCTAACCGAAATTGTTTCCCTCGCATATGGAAGGGAAATATGTTGTCTGAAGGCATGAGGGGAATCTTTGGGATGAAAAGTCTCTTCCGGCATGTGGACCGCAAGCAACGACAGCATCAATGACATGTAGATGAAGGTTTTGAACCACATAGCGAGTCCCGTTGCAGTGGCCGTTTGTGGGATCCAAATTTCTCAGCTACCTGACAATGCTCATGTTGTTTTTCCGCAATGTCAGTTTTGTGGGGTGGCATACCTGACGGACATAGGGAATTGATAAATTCGATGGGGTATTTGTGTTCATTTTCTTCCACCGAATCACTGCTCCTGTAGACTTTTTCTTCTCCGGGAAAGGACTTCATGATCAGGTTGTTGATTCTGTCTACTTCTGTGTTGGTGGGACAGATGATGCAGCAGGAAGCCAGCCAGTCAGGATTTGGTTAGACTGCACGTTACCGAAGACAAAATTTATCATCTCTCTTTCGCTCTTTACTGTGATGTCATCTGACAGTTTTATCGATATGATAATATCGATAAAATAATAATAATAATAATAATAATAATAATAATAATAATAATAATAATAATAATCTTATATATAGTATTATAATGGAGCTAAGCCCGTTTGTGGGGCCAGTAAAAACCTTTTACACAGGTGCCCATAAAATCTACAAAAATATGATTCAGACAAGAATTGCCCCAAAGGGTTACGTGGGCATATTTTCAAAGTTCGGAAACTACATTTTGATTTTTCAGGTTTAATGGTTTTTCCTGTAAATCGAAGCTCTCGGATGTTTTCACTCTACCTTTAGCCATTTCATATTTTACTTGGGATTACTTCTGTTTCGGTCCCAAGCTTTGCTGTGCGTGTGTGTAGTTCGCAAGAACAGAAGTGCGGTTTCTGCTTTGTCGTGTGTGTGCGACAGATCTGTACTTTTTTAAAGTAGTTAGCAAGAACAGAAGTGCCGTTTGTGTTTTGTCATGTGTGTGTGTGCCACATAGTTCTATTTCAGCTGCTTCTATTGGCCCATTGAATATTAGTTAATAAAGTTAAGAATGTAATAAGATACCCTTAAACGTAGAGTTTGTTTAACCCCACGAAACAGAGGTGAGAGCGAGAGGAAACGGAGAAAGGCGATTGTCAAACAGAATTTACGTTCTAAAAGTCAGAATCTGGAGGAAGACCTTGAGCGTGCTAGGCCAAGAAAGAATGGACCAACGTTGGCCATAGCGTGCCACGCACAGTCCTTTAGTGAAACTGAAGTTGACCGAAGATTACAGACACATGACTGTGATGAATTCAGTGTCGTCTGTGATCATTGCAATGCCATAAGATGGAGAGAAGAGAGAAATATATTCGGCTGTCAAAATGGAAAGAAAGATTAGTACTTGTACCTCCCCCACCTTCTCGGGAATTAATAAAGTTTTACGAAGTAAAATTGTATGATGTATCACAGAGCGGCAGCTCTTTCTTCCCACACTGTAGGTCATACAATAATGCTCTCGCCCTTGCTTCAATTGGATGCTGTGAACAAGCTGAAAAGGGCTTCAATCCAACCTTCAAAATCCAGGGCAAGCCGTACCACCGATTAGGAAATCTTCTTCCCACTGCTGGAACTGAACCAAAGTTTGTACAGATTTTTTTCATGACTCTGCCACAGAACTTCAGGATAGGCTGAGACTGTAACATTATTTTACTGCCAGACATTTTTAATGAACTTCACCCTGAGAGAGAAGGTGAGTCAAGGGTACCCAAAGCTTAATGAAGAACAAAGAATCGTGTATGATGCTGTCAGTGGTACAGAAGCAAAGCAAGATATTTGCCCTGGAGGCAAGTAGAAGGACTGGGAAAACCCACACTATAAACCTGATTCTTGCGGCTGTTCGTTCCTTTAAGAAGATCGCCCTTGCTACAGCTCTGTCAGGCATTGCAGCAACTCTGCTCTCAAATGGCAGAATATTACACAGCAGATGCAAAATACCCCTTAGTGTGAACGAACAGTCCATGTGCAGTGTGAGTCTCCAAGATGCCAGTGGCCCTTTATTACGCCAAACAGAGCTGCTCATCATTGGTGAAATATCGATGGGCCACAAACATAGATGTTTGAACCCAAAGACTGAACACTTCAAGACATATGTGGGAATAACTCTCTGTTCGGTGGGCTAACTGTGCTGATGTCAGGTAACTGGCGCCAAGTACTACCAGTAGTTCACATGGCTCAAGATCACAGATAGTCAATGCAACGCTGAAATAATCATATCTGTGGGAGCATGTTAATGTGCTCAGACTGACAAGAAACATGAGGGTTTCGCTTACAGGTGAGACTGCTGATTTCTCCAACTATCTACTGAACATTGGTGATGGCAAACACAATGCATGCAAGCAAATCGGGGAGTTTGCGATAAAACTGCCAGATGACATCACAGTAAACAGCGAACGAGAGTTGATAAATTTTGTCTTCGGTAACGTGAAGTCTAACCAAATCCTGACTGGCTGGCTTCCCGCTGCATCGTCTGTCCCACCAACACAGAGGTAGACAGAATCAACAACCTGATCATGCAGTCCTTTCCCAGAGAAGAAAAAGTCTACAGGAGCAGTGATTCGAGGGAAGAAAATGAACATCAATACTTTACTGTACTTTTATCCGCCGCCTATACCCGTTTGGGTGTCGCAGGAAGAAAGAGACGTCTCTCTGTCGCCAGCCAGAAAGCTTGGGTCAGAGGGACGCCGTGGGTGGTTAATCCCTGATTCCATCTACCAATACCCCATCAAATTTATCAATTCTCTATGTCTGTCAGGTATGCCACCCCACAAACTGACATTGCGGAAAGACAGCATTGTCAGGTAGCTGAGAAATTTGGATCCCACCAACGGCCACTGCAACGGGACTCGATATGTGGTTCAAAACCTTCATCTACATGTCATTGATGCTGTCGTTGCTTGCGGTCCACATGCCGGAAGAGACTTTTCATCCTAGGGATTCCCCTAATGCCTTCAGACAACATTTTTCCCTTCATATGCGACGGAATCAATTTCCGGTTAGACCTGCTTTTGGAATGACTGCCAAAAAAGCTCAGAGACAGACTTTGAAACGGATAGTGGTTTCTTTACGGGGCGATTTTTTTCCCATGGGCAATTATATGTCGCAAAGAGTCGTGTTGGGTACAGGGAATACATTAGGATACATGCAAACAGACCTGCTGCCCAGGACAGAGTTCCAGATGGCTCATAATACTCATATATACCAGCAATGTTGTCTACACACAGGTCCTACGGCAATGAATCAGGTACCGGTACAAACATTTTATCTTGGGCTAGAACGGGTCTGTGTGTAGTAATAATAATAATAACTATAAAAAAACAACAATAATGATGATAATTATAATAGTAATATGTGAGGCAGCGTGGTGGAATCAGGCTCTCGTCAAAATAATCAAAGTGACGAAACTTGCATTTTTTCACAGGTTTGTGAATTTTCATCAAATTTTTGTTTTTTGGCTCAACACCTTTCTTGCCCATTAGAGAACTCATTTCTGTGTGAATTATTTTGATAAATGTTGATTAAAGGCACAAAAAATATAAATTTTCAGTTACAACGGACTCTTAAGCTAAGAAAATAACAAATCTTTGGCCGCCATTTTTTCACAAATTTTACCTCTGAAAACAGTTGACCCCCACCTCTTTCTTTTGCAAATATCTCGACTTGTGTTCAAGATAAAAGGATATTGTTTTCATCCAAATAAAGACAGGTGAACAAGCTGTAAGATGATACCAATAATCCTACTTGCCCAAAAATTGACGAGAACCTCATTCCACCTCGCTGCCTCACATATAATAATGATAATGAAAACGATGATAATATAAAAACCACCAACACAACAATCATCACCATCATGCTCATCAACACCCTCATTATCAGTAGTAGTTTTGTTGCTGTTGTCGTTGTTGTTGCTACTGCTGCTGCTGTTGTTAACGACGATGATTTTTATAATGTCCATGACTACTGTACGTTGTTTTCCTATAGTGGGGGATCCTGTGGAAAAGTTGGGACTGTGAGCTCTTTTAGAAAGTAAAAATTGCTATTGTCTTTAGGACGTCCCCAAAGGGAGGATATTAACATGTTCTTGTGCACAGTAGGTTTGTAAATAGGCTGATTTATCAATGTCATGCTCGTACTGTGCTAGAACAACATAGGGGGAACTGTTGCTTTTTCTTTCCCCATCCTAACTATTGTCATTTTTCCTCTACATCTTTTGTATGTTTGTCACTCTCTTGTGAACTGCTATTTCTGGGGTGCCTTGATAGTCGAAGCAGACTTTGTCCTGTTGAGGCTAGAGAGGTGAGCAGAGTGAACCTGATTCCCCGTAAGGACTTCTCTGTCGACATACACCCCTTGGCGCTCATATGACCTTATACAGTTGCGAGGTGAGTGACTGGCGGGTGCTCTGGTGTGGTTTGCTCCTTCTTTCCTATAAAAAAAATCTATCGTCTCTATATCCCTTCCTTCTTCTTTGTGTACATTACTCTCGTGTAACACCGCTAATCTTCAGCACTTATTTGAACTTTGTGCTGTTGAGGCTAGAGAGGTGTCCAGAGTAAGCCTGATTCTCCGTTTGGACTTCTCTGTTGACATCCACCCCTTGGTGTTCATGTGGCCTTATGCAGTTGCGAGTGCGGTAAAGCCTTACTAAAACTTTTTTTAAAAATTGCTATCCGATTTCGGACACAGGAGCTAAAGGAGGATCTACCGCAGCCCACACGGGGCCCGAACCGGGGACCTACGCCAACCACGGCGCGCTTCAAGTACCTGACGTCGTCTACGCCAACACACCGCGTCACCCCGCCAAGGTCAAGGCCGATGTTCCAGAGGAGAATCTTTACGCCAATGTGAGATGCTGAAAATGTTCACAGCTGTCTGTGTCTCTCCAGTCCTGTTCTCTTTTTGTGTCTGTCTGTCTGTCTGTCTGTCTGTCTGTCTGTCTGTCTGTCTGTCTGTCTGT